CACAAACTCAGTTCTGGTATGAAATTGTAGGTTGATTTCTGTGATATTCAAATGGTTGATCCTGTAGTTGGGAGGGGCTGTTCATGTCAATTTTTTGTGCTTTTCCGTTTAACCAGGGCTCTGTTTACTAAATGAGAATGAGAATGAAGCTGATCAGGAACGAAAAATTCTAGGTTAAAAAATACTTCGAGTCTTAATGCTTTCGTTGAAGTACCAATTTAGTTTTGGAATTTTAAGTTGTAACGATTTTTTTATTAAAATTAAATATCTATTTTATTATGTAACAATTTATTTAAGTTTTGTAGTTTATACACACATTGATCTCTATCATTTTATCTATCATTTTATTGATAACTTTGTTAAATTTAAACAATGTTATAATAGGATATTTACAAATTTAATACTACAATGACTAAGCTATTATATACTAAACATCAAAATTACCACGGTGGGAAGGACACCAAAATTACCGCTGTTGGAAGGAGAAGTGCTAGTAGTGGAATAACCATAACCATCATCAACCTCTCTGACAACCATGGCAGCATTTGATCAACCTTTCTCGCAAAATCCACTTTTTCAAGAGTGAGCATCGATCCGACTTAATAGAATGGTGGAAGAGTGAGGTCAACGATCATTTGGAAAACTAAATAAATTTAGAAGTACAGGAGTTAAATTGACACAAACTAAAATTTAAAAATTAAATTGCTGCTAAAAAAAAATTAACAGAAAACTGGTTTTTAACCAAAATTCTTTATTTCGAATGTACTTTATGATATTATATTCACTAAAATTATAGAGTTAAATTACTCGTTTACAGGTCTCTCAATTTTAGAAATATCTACTAGGCTTAACAACTGGTACTTAACCTATTATACATTTTGTTAAATTCACAAAATTTAAATTTTAAAAATCTACCATAAAATTGAATGTTTAAAGGCTTATTAAATTCTTTAAAATTCAAAAATTCATTAAACACAACCCTAATAATTAGATTATTAGCCTTGATGGTACATTTTGTATGAAAATAAAACATAAGAAATTGACACTCTCTGTCACGTCAGTTTAGGATCTATTTAGGATGACGTGCACATTTTTTTTCTCTCTCTTTTTAATAAAGAAAATTAAAGTTCATGTCTATAWCACTCATGAATTATGATAAAACAAAATTATTATTTATATTGGACAAATTAAAAACAAGAAACTCMTCCATGTTGTTTCTAAATTTTTTATATAATTTTAAAAATGTTTCTAAAAAATAAAAAACAAGAAACATAAATAATTATCAAATGTTACGATTGTTGAAAAGTAGGAAAAAACAATGGAACATTACCAAACAAACCTTGAAAACTTACTTAGAATAATATGCCAAATTTTAATGAACCAAGTACACATACATCATTTTTGCAAGACAAGAACAGTATACTCCGAGCAAGAAAAAACATCTTCAAACCAACCAACACAAGGGAGCTATAAGTGAACAAAATCTATAGATATTGAAACTTCAGAAAGAAACAAGAGTTCCATCATCTCATAACTCAAATAATCCTTACAGATCTATATGAAAGCTTCAAGACAAGGTATGGAAATATAATTTCAACAACCTTAATATGAGAACGCCCGCCACTACAACTAATCCTACTGAAACGATGCTTCAACCTCAATCCTCTTCCTCGCCCTCGTTCTCAGCAATGTTAAAGTATCTCAATTCATAGACATTGCGATCTTTGTTCGAAGCAATTACCCGAAGCCAATCTCTGACATTGTGTTTCTTCAAGTACTTCTTAGTCAAGTATTTAAGATACCTGGGATTCAAAAGAGGTAACAATCAGCAAAGTTTATTCAGGGATTAGAAGCCTATTTTCCCAAGAGAATAACCAGTATTCAAGTGTAACAATCAACCTTGTTCTTTGCAAAAATTATGCATGCAGTAAAGTTCTAAGTTCACCCATAAAAGGGAAGGGGGCAAAAAAGGAGACTTGCTATTTGCGTGTCACAACTAGAAGAGGTGGCTAATTAGAAAATGCATAGGCAGACAAGTAAAATCTTCGACAAGTCCCTCTTTTATTGGGTTGTCCAGAAATAAAGGCCTAGAGTTAATCCACCCGACGGTACAAGAAGAAAAATTATACCAAAAGACTACAACTGTAAGAACTTTACAAATGAGCAAATAAAAATGACCCAGAATACACAAAATTACAAATTCAGAATCTATAGCACGAAGCTGAAAAATTATTATATGAGATAACGAGTACTTCTTGAAGAAGTCAGTCACTTTCCCGTTTACACTAAATCATGGCTGAAGTATCAAGACCAATTCCTGCAATATAGCCCTTTGATGTTCATCAATCTCACAATCCAGTAAAATATGCAATAAAACTACGATTATAAACGCACACAGCGTTTGTATTCTCAGTAATACCGTGGCGGGTAGCAGAGCAACCCAAAGCTTATTCCCAAACAAATCAATGAATGCACGAACAGAACTCGCCGAGAAACAGATTCATAATCACAATTCAGAATAGCGCACGAATTAACAACCATAAAAACAACAAAATACCTCTTGGAGAAGTTGCTATCGGAGTTGACCGTGATCTTGTTCTTGTCCCGAGTGACGGTAACCGAGTCACCGAGTGCCCCAGCTTTGCCGCCAACCTTGATCCTCTCGAGAAGAAACTTCTCCAATGAGGCGATGTCCATGATCTTGTCCTCCACAGGCTTCGCACAATCAATAACGAAGGTCACGCCCTTCTTCTTCCCCTTTGGGCCACCGGATGCTGCTGCTCCACGGCTCATTTTCGCTTCTCGGGCAGCAATTTCTTGACCTAAACTTCTGCAGAGAGAGATATCGAACAACGGCGCTGGAGTTAGGGTTTTGAGTGGTATTTTAAGGCACGAAGAAGATGGTGCTTTTTTTCTTCTTAAACAACAAAAATGGCCCATTTTAATTCAATTTTGTAAAATTAGCCTCATTTTGGGATCTGACCACTCTTTTACCCATTTACCCAAACCCATACAGAAAACGAGGCTAGTTACTGGGAAAAATTCACTTTTACCCAAATTTTTTTTTTAATGCAACAATGTGGAGGTTGGGTTTGTACTTGCGACTTTTTAGTCGGAGATATATCATTGATGTGTTTAAATCGACAACTTTATCATGGTTAAGTTAATAAATTTTACTCTTCACGATTGTTACCCAACCTCGTCATCGAGCCTAAAACTCAAATGTCGGCCTAATTCCAATCTAGGACCAATCCAAACGGCTCAAATTTAATGTTTGATTGGTCCAACACAATTAAATCCTTCCATGAATTTGATCGGATATGAATATCTCTTTTTCAAATTTGGCTGGGTCATGAGTTGACTCAATGTAATCAAATATATATATCACAAAATTTATTCATAATCATTCTTGAAAAATGAATAAAAATGGTAAAAACAAAATCAAGTAGAGACACAAAGTCTGATCCAAATGACAAGTATAAACCCGATTCGACTTTAACCTATTGAATTTAACTCATAAATTAAGTCATTAGCCTAGGTTTTAGTAGTTGAATTATCCAAACAATACTTGAGATCCATAAGGACTTAAGATTAGACTGAACTTGGATTCTTGTTCCTTTAGTCGAATCGAACCAGACCAATGATAGGATGAATGGTTACTACTCACTAGTGAATGTGAAGTTGGCAATCAAGAAAATATTTCTCTATAGAATTTTAAAACTTATTCAGACAAATGATGAAAATTAATCTCTCATATAAACCATATATATATTTTTGTACAACAGTGGAAATGAGGAATCAAACTTACAACTTCTTAATTAGAGATATATACCAATTATCATTGAGCTCGGTTCCACATCTGAACCAAAATATTATTTAAACTAAAAAAATAATAATAACAAGTGTATTACGTACGAAAATTTTCATAAATACTCTTGTCAAACGAAAAAAAATAAAGGAATCATATAATTTTGATAAGAAGGGGCTACTTTAAGAAAAAGTAAACGACGTCGTTTTTGCGGCGCACTCTGCATATGATTCCGGAAGGAAATCGAGAAATGAAAGATGGAAGACGAACTCAACGGCGTCGTTCCATGTTCTTCCCTCGCCGTCGAATCCACCATTCGCGTCGGCACGGTAACCTTCACTACAACTTCTCAAAATTCTAATTCGTTTCCAATAATTTCTCCCTCTGAATCGCCTTTTTTCCTGTTCATCTTCAGGCCGGCGCACTCTGGGGCTTGTGTATGGGTCCGTACAATTCTCGCAAAAATGGTAATCTCAGGTTCAAATTCGCCAAACATAATCTTATCTTCTGATTCTTTTATTGCAATTATTCCCTCTTCAATTAACTCGTTTTCTCGCTTACAGGGCTTAGGGGCGTCGGCCATGCTGCTTTCGTGGTACCAAATAGTTGCTACTTTGCTTTGATTTCTTATTATTTGATTGAGATTGTAGCATCTGGCGTTTGCCTGATCCGTCATTGCGTTTTCTGGTCTATTTTGCAGGCAAAGTCCGTTGGAAAATACGGCTTTCAATGTGGTAATGGATAAATGTCTTAATCTTTCTGGCCTCTCTCTAGATTGTTAAGCTGTGTTTGTGGTTGATTTGTTTGCTTAGTTTTGTTATGAGCGGAAAAGTAGCTAAAGATTTTGAGTTTTAGGACTTGTTGCTGGAACTTTTACTCTGACTCACTGTGGGATTCAAAGATATAGAAGGAAGAATGATTGGGTTAGTCAGACTCGCAAAATGATTATTTTTCACCTTTCTCCTTTTATTGAATGTGATCAACTGTAAATATTGCCTAGTTTTATTCCCAGATTGTTGACCTCCCTTGATACTTTGTGCATTAGATGAGTAACCCAGTATTCCTACACTCTCTTTGAGTGAATGATAACTCAAGAAAAGATGAAATTTTGGTGATAGATGATTATAAACGGTTTTGTAGAATCATTAAACTTGAGTCAGACCAATCTAAAACCACTACCATTAGAATAGGCTCCTAAGAGGGAGCTCTGTTGGCAAGGGTTCGAGGTCTTTTAGTTGCACTGACTTAGAGGTCCCAAGTTCAAACCTTTAGTTAGCTTAATACCAAAAACCTTTGATATCTCTCGTGTTCAGGTTTTAGGGCACCAAGCGTGGGTGCCCTTGAGTATAGGTGACAAATGTCCCAGTCATTGGTTCTTATATATATATCATTAAAGGATAAATTTTAGAGGAAATATTTGGGCCTATATGTGTTTGCTTTGTGTGTCTCAGGACTTACAAGATACCAATTAACAATTAAAAAAACCTTTATAAAAATATCTGGCTTTATTAGGTTTATGGTATGAGCCTCGTTTTGCCAACTTCCTTCCGTAATATATTTATTTTTAGATTTTTGGATGAAGATTGTGTGGCTTGAGCTGGCTACCTCAGCTTTGACCTTCTTGGTACTTCTACTGGGGAAAAGAAAAATAGTGAGTGAAAATATGGAGGCCTCCAGAAATGTTGATGGTACTAATTCTTTCATGTAGAATTTATCGTGTTAGAAGTGTCTTAATAGATTTGTAGTTACTTCTCTTTATTTTGGTCAAAAGAATTTCAAGGTCAATTAAATGCACATTTAAGAACTTGATTTAAATCCTATGCAATTGTATATGATCCACTTTCACAATATCCCGTTGCAGGTGTTTGCATTCAGTACCTTCATATTTCCTCGTAACGAATACCATGTGATTGCTCGATCTATTATGGCACTAACTATTCAGGGACCATGTCAAATTACAACTTTAGAAAGTAAATCTCTACATCTCTTTTTTTTCATTTGGCAGTTGAATGGTTTGATTGCGGGTGCAGTGGCAGGAGCAGCAATTGCCACGAGGACTAGAAGCTGGTCACAGGTATTTGGGATGGCTGCCCTTGTTTCTGCCTTCAGTGCCGCTGCTGAATATTCAAGATCGCTTTAGAATACCTCTTGTAGGAACCGGAACCGGGAGGTATTCAACATCCTAATACTTGTAACCATACTGCATACTGTTATGCGATTTTTTTTATCTAATGATTAAATTTTTTACCACAAGTACATATCTTTCTATCCAGGATAAGTTCAGCAAGTTTCCTCTCGTTATTCAAGGAAGTTGTTTGCATGTTGGTGTGTTGGAGGAGGGATCAGATTCTCACTATTTTGATTCAATCTTGATATTGGAGGTAAATTCTGGTAAGATAAGCCGGAAATGATATTAAAGTAATTTCCACTGTCCTGATCTATATTACAATACACATTTCAGTTTTCCATATCAGATGATGAAACATTATAAAGTAACTGAGATTCTCTTTCTTTCTCGAGTTTACTTGCTAGTTCCTACTGGGACGTCTATCATTCTGTCTCGATTAACTCGTGTTTACTTGGATCTTAAATTCCTGGAAACCAGTTCTAGTAATTTCAATAAGCCTTGTGCCTGCCCCAAAGTACAGGGGAGCAAAAAGCTCCGACTCCGGGTTAAAAAAAAAAGTTTTGAGTTTAGCTCTGGGTTTTGATTGTGCTTTTTCTGAAGTATCATTGATTTTGGTGAAGAATTACCGAGAAAAATCAAGAGTCTCGAGGGGGGAAGGGGGTTGAGTTCAACGACATGTGTGAGGGAGGATTTGAAAGCTCTAACTTTTTGTAGATAATATATGTCTTAACTAATTGGGTTATACTCAAATTTATAAAGAGGTATAAATTCTTTAAGATTTGGACTGCTGAGCTCAAGTTAGAAGACTGTGATCTTATTATCTTGGCTCTTGATATTTGGACAGTCTATCTTGAGTTTGGAGACCATGATCTTGTTATATTAGAACATTTGCTATTTGGACAGTCTATCTTGAGTTTGGAGACTATGATCTTGTTATATTAGAACATTTGCATCGCGAATAAATTTTCGGAAGTATTAACTTTTGTTTTCAAATGGTTGAATACTGTATCTCAATTTTGTAGTTGATTTTACATATATAAACTCGTTCGTACAATCGAAGAGGAGGACGAGTGTTCCTCCTCTTGTAGTAGTCGTGCTCGTGCACGTGCACGCTTGTGTTATTATGTTTTGGATGACTTAAAAAAAATGTTTTTTAAAAACAAAACTACTTTTTATACCCATAATTCACTAAGTGATTTTAGATTACTGAAAGTGTTCTTTTACAAAATCCACAATATTTGGTAATGAATAAACAACATTTTCAAAAAATTTGAATTGCTTTAAATACCTTTTAATAAAAAATTAAGAGATGGTTATTTAAAAAGCTATTTAGTTTAAGCGCTTGATATTGACTTTTCTATTTCAAACAAGTTTCACAATGTGGTGGGGGTTATATTTTGAAAATATCTATTATGTATTACCAAAATGCTGATTATCAAATTATGGAGGCTACATATGGATGGAGTTAGGAATTTTCACAAAATAAGCATAAGGGTGGTCGATCTCATATTAACTCAACTCGTAGAGTTACTAACAATCTCTCCTACGAGTCGAAGTTCAAAATTTCACCCACATTATATAATTGTCATTTCCATATATATATATATATATATATATTTTTGACTTACCACTAATTGATAAATATTGGTTCCAAGGTAGTTGAGATTATTTATAAAAGAAATAATCAAAAGTGAAGCACTTTTAGAAAAATACATATTATATATATACTAAGAGGCCCTTGGGGAATGATTTTATAATTATTAATTGTAACGAAAGAAATTTAATGATAATTGATTTTGTGAGTAGTTTTTATATAATTATTTTAACGTTTTTTTAATGAAATATTTTAACGTTAATTTAAAGAGAATTCGACACAAATTTGAGAGAGAGATAAGTGGGAGAAAAACGAAAAATCTTAGAGTGAAATTTTAGAGGGTAAGAAACAAAAGATTATAGAAGGATAAATAAATTCATAAAAGAGACGAGAACTAAAAACTGAGAGAGTGATTACAAAAATAGTTTTAGAAAAAAATTTAGAGGGAATAAACAAAACTAAAGATAAACAAGGTTATAGAGTGACAAAAGTTTTAGAAAAAAAATCTCAAAATTTAAGGTGAATAGGAAGACAATTTTGAAAATTAAAATAATAATCATTTTTAAAACTAATTTTATGTTAATTTGGTAAAAAGTCACTTGAAAAATCACCTCTCAAGTGATTGATCTTTAAAGTTAGGCATCTTTACCAAACCTTCTATTTTAAAATGAATGTGATTATGGCATGAGTAAAATTGATTATAGCCATACCAAAATCACTCCCAAACATTTTTATAAATACACAGTGTAATGTTTGATTTCAATTAAGTAAAAACATTTTTTACTATTAACTTATAAGGACAGTCCAGTTGACAAGAGCTTAAAGTCTCTTAGTCATATCGACTTTAGAGATCTCAAGTTCAAATTCTTGACGTCTTCGAGATTATCAATATATACTATGTTATTTCACTATTGACGTCCTAATAAAAGAATTGAGAAACAGTCAACACAATCTTAGTTATCGTAATTGGCACGTATCTGTAGCCAAGAGTTTGAATTTTGTGTTGCATAAAAAAATTTGATAAATGGTTGTTTTTTTCTTTTTTTCGGTAAAAGACTTGAGATATAATATAAAAATATATAATAATTATATATGTTTAGAATGTTATGGAAAGGGTTTAATATTTGTGAGGTGAAAAAATGCGGGTTTATGAAACATCCATTTGTCCCACATCGACTAGGCGGCAGAAGGAGGAGCGAGATGGCGACTATAAAAGGGGCGCTTGTCTCCGTTCTAAATCATACCTTTCTCGGCCTTTTGGCTAAGATCAAGTGTAGTATCTGTTCTTATCAGTTTAATATCTGATACGTGGGCCATCGGCCCACATGATATTAAATTTATTTTTCTAGGGGGAGGGCCCACCACGGTAGCTTGCTGCCTGGGCCCTCGCGCGTCGCCCTTGCGTTGCACTACTGCTTGGGCCTTGGCGCACCCTTCCAATTTTTAAAGCCCAAATATTCTCATTTTGTATTTGCCATTTTATTATGGAAGTTAAATTAATAAAACAATATATTTGATTGAGATGTGAGGTGTTGTGCTTTGTTCCTTTGGTGGAAGAACTGATTCTGAGGATTTTGAGAATTTAACTCGGTGGATTTAAAATTCTTTATTACGTAATTAGATTTTGCCGTAAATGAAAGTAAAGTAATCAAATTGCTAATATAATTTATTAATTTCAAAATTACTATAATAATAAAATTGCTAATATAATTTAGCAATTTCAAAATTACAATAAGAGGTTAAATAAATAATTTATTTTAAAATCAAAATTCTATGATTTTCAGTTATTTTCTTTACAAACAACGGGTCCTCAACTTGAAGAAGCTATCATGATGCATTCAAAAAAAATTTCTACCCTTTTAAATTGTTAAAAGAGTAATATAAGTTGACCAATTTAAATTAATATCTATTTAGAGTACTTTTTTTAAAGGCTATTTTTTTATAAAAGTTTTTAAAGGCTATTTATGATACTTGTACTTTGAAAAGTTATTAATAAGTTTGATATAGGTGACTAACTTCATTGGCACAATAACTATATAAAATAGTACTATTAAAAGACCACAGTAAATTTAGTCGTAATTGGACATACAAATTTAAAAAGGTTCAATAATTTATTACAAACTTTTTAGAATATGTAAGATTATGTAAAATACAATTAAAAATAAAAAAAAAGGATAAAAACAAAATTATCAAGAAGTGGCAGAATAAAACATACCATAACATAAAGAGGTTTGGGGGTTGAATATTCAAGTTCAACCCTCGGGAGCCAGAAAAAAAAGGGAAAAAATTGTAAACATACCATGTAATATAATATAATATATATATATATATATATATATATAGGCAATCTCCATCACGTTATTTATAGAGAAAATTCCCAAGTTGGCTGTCATTTGGGGGGAGTTTCGAAACCAGAGGCTGCGAGTTTGTTAACCAAAGCGAGTGCGTTACTGGTAATATAACCAGCCTTCACCACTCGATTCCGTATCAAATTCACTTGTTTTCCTCTTTCCCCTTCAAATCCATCAATGCAGGTATCTTCATCCGTCAGCGCCGCGCTCACCCACGTCGTTAGATCCCCAATTTGGGCCTCGAAATCCCTTCTGCTCAGTCTCCGAAGAACCCCAAGCGATCGGTGGAGCTCATCAATGGCGGCTTCGAAGACCTCCACACAGTCCGAAACCGCAACTCTGTCTCTACCCCTCATGCGCCCGCTCCTCTTCAGTCTCCCCAAGAATCGCGCCACGGATTTCGCCTCTGTTATCGTCACGGCCACGCCCGCTCTTGCCCATTTCGTCGGGCTTCGTTTGGCGGTGCTCGAAAACGGCGACAGCGACTGGATGCAGAGATCTGGGTGCCGGGTTACGCTGCAGGCTTCTCGGACGTAGTTCTCCTTGGCGGAAGCAGGAAGAACAGAGACGACTGCGAAAACGGCGGCAATTGCCATTCCCAAATCGCGCGCAGGCAACATGTTCGACGAAATGCCTCAGAGAAGCTGAGGGGTGGAAAAGCGGAAAAGGTATGTTGAAATGGAAGCTAAATCATCGTATTGTTGTGATTTTGCAGAGGAGGTGGAAATTAATGAGTTTATGGGGGTGGATTATATAATGGGAAAAAGGGTATGGGGGGGTGACTTGGAAAGTTCAATTGAAATTGCTTTTTGCAGGTGTTTGCTATGCATTAGGCGTGGGGATGGTGAGTGAATTAAAGAGGTAGTGGTGAGCTGAAATAAGTTAAGAAGGTGAAGAACATGTGAATGGCAGGTGAGTTCTCATGAGTTTTGGGATAAAGGAAATCTAGGAAAATTTGATATCTTTTTACCTGAATTTACAATGCATCTTTGACTTGTGGATCATGAGATTTGTGTACGTGAGTTGGATTGGACTGCCGGAAGAAAACCTTGTAGGATTTGAAGAAAATCACCGACTTCCTGTTTATGACCATCCGACCCTGCATTGAAATCGCCCCCTAAAAATAAAAAAGTGGGGAGATTTATTTTGGTAACACAGTAATATTGAACTACTACATGCCTAAGTTTTGTATTACTTTTAATGGTTGTGACGAAAAATAGGTGGTAGTAGTATGAAACTTTTCAAGGTCGGTAAATTTTTTTCCAATCATAGTACATATTCAGATATATGGAGGTGCTAGCAATAAATTAGCTTCATTGATTGAAATTTTAGAGCCTAATCATTACATAGGTTTGGTTCAAGTCCAAGAGAAGGTCGATTGGAACCGGAGCGAAGAGGCACTTGAAGGCACATGGCATGGGTGATGTGGTGTCGAGGGGTGAGCTAAGACACTAGAATAGTATAGTCGAAACATGTTGCATAAGCATTGTTAAGTAGGGCATTACTATTACATTTCTATCAACATTACTATAACAATGATGATAGACATTATGAGTAAATTGACATTTTCATAGTATCGTAAAAAAATCAATAAAATATAAAATAATATCAATAAAATATGATTAATGTGGATATAATATTAATACAAATAAGTTAGATGCTTGTTTTTAAATATTTTTAATGAAAATTTTAATTTTATAATTTTTCTATAAATATCCATTTACTTGGACATTTAAAACTTGCTATTAAGATAAAGATAGTGCGTGGGCCTTTTAAATTCAAGTAATTTCATCCTTACAGTAGAATTTGCAAAGTTGTGAGAGGTAGCTTGGTTGAGGGTGGGTGAACCATGTATCATTTCTAGTGGGATTTCTATCACGAACAAGTATAGCTAAATCGGTTAAGACACTCATCCAATCAAAATGTCGTAAGTTTGAGCCCTTACCTCTACGTGTTGTATTATTATTTTTTTTAGGATAGTTATTACGATAGAGGCTTTAATAAAAGATGACAAAATTCCTTTTTGTCTTTTATTTTGTAGCAATAAATTAAGATTATACTCTTTTTAGAATTACTATCGATAGGTTTCGAACTTTTGGACTCTGATACCGTATCGTTCCGTCTCAAAACCAATTAGCATAGTAATCTATGTCTATTATAAACTATTGTAAGGTTACTTCTATTTTCAAAGTGGGATCTTTAACAATTACAAGTTTAGATAAAAATTTTGTGTAATGTTTTTAAAGTTTTCCATACCTAATTAGAGTACTTCAACACCATGCGCGTTGGTGTGATGTTGGGCGTCACTGTTGAAACCTTTAGAGGAGTTTTTTTCTTAGTGATTGATTTTAGGAGTAGAGCACTTGTTGAATGTCATTCTCATACACGACCCCAAATGTTAATGATGAACGAGATGATGAGTGACCTCAGAGTCGAGGTGTACGCCTAGTCAAATTGGTGACTGCAAATATAACCTTGCATCGGTGTGGTGCTTGACCACATATATTCCGAGGTTTAAGTGAGTACTTAGTCCGAGCTAGTATCAACCCGAGTTTAATAAGGATTGTCTGCCTTTGCAAGGAGTGGTTCCTGCATTTTATAGGAAAACTTTGGGAAGTGTTGACTCGTCATTTTGACAATTGGTGCCTAATTGTTAGTGGAATTTATGCTAGTGGCATTTGCTACTTAAGTCGGTGTGAGTTGGACTTGCGCTTGTCCAGTCAAGGTCAAAGCTCGCCTAGCCTCCCTACCTTGACCTATCCTATTCGAGACTTGTACACATGTTTCCAGTCGGGCTACGTGGCAGGCTACCCATTACACTTATTTCTCAATTTAGTTTTTATTCTTTTAAAATCCTCAAATTACCCCTAATGTATTAACAATTATCAACGAGTCCATTCCATACGAATTTTGTTAATAAAATTTTGATGTATATGCCATTTGTGAATCACAATCCACTTATCGAATCCGTTTCTTCCAAATGATATGTCTATATTGCCATGTCCACATGTACAATTACATTAATAAAAAATAATTTAATGACACGTTAATTTTTTTTAATAAAATTTTACAAATTGACATAATTGAGGTTTTTTAATTCATCAGGGATAATTTTTCAAAATATATATTAATGACCAAATTGAAAATTATCTAAAAGATTATGGACCACGTTAGTGTAGCCTGAAAAATATTAATTTTCAAGAAAATTATAAATAAACTTTTCTTTAATGAAATTTTTATTTTTTCAAATGTATATTCAAGTAACTTGCTTAATTCACTCCAACGAAAGATTAGTATAAAATAGATTTATCAAAAAAATAACTACTCTTTAATACTTTATTTTAATGTTATTTTGCCAACCTTGAAATTAACAAGCGGGTTAATATACTTGTCTCCGACAAAAAATTAGTGAATTCGAATTTCCACCACCACTTGTATTAAAAGAATAGTCATTTTATTCTTTTTAGTTGATTAAATATTCAACAAGTCGTTTGTCGTGTAAAATAATATTTATATATATTAAGAATATCACATTATGATCGTAATCTAATTTACGAAACTTTAATAGAAGTAGAGATGTCTTAACTACTAACTACTCAGCTCTGTTGAAATTAACTTGTATTAATTATGGTAAAAGGTAAAAATCAACTTGAGCATATATATATATATTTTTTTGTAGTACAATAAGTAGGAGTGTCGAGATTCAAACTCATGACTTCTTGATCAGATACATGTGTCAATTACCTTTGAGCTAAGTTCATATTGACAACTCGAGCATAGGTTAGTGGAACAAGACAAATATTACCATTTTGTAGGTCGATAGTTTGATGCAGGCCAATAGTTACTGAACTTGAAAATGAAAGCATGGTTAAAAACAAATTTAAACTGGTATATGTTATATGTATATTAATGATTTACGCGCATAAATTTTAACTATTAAAGGTTATAATGTAGGTTATTATTACTAAATATATATATTTAAACAACAAATAATTTGGTTGTCTATGATATTCAAGTTCAATAAACTTGTTATTCAACAGTAATTTCTAAATTTAGTGATAAGAAACTTGTCAAATCATCGGTTTGGTCCATACAATTTTAGAACTGTGTCTAATAGGTTCCCAAATTTTAAAAATGTATAATAGATGTTCGAACTTCTAATTTTCAATCTAATAAGTGTTTAAATTTATTTTTTTAATATATCTATAATTTATTAGACTATGTTTAAAGTTCAAGCCTAAAAAAAAAGAGTTCTAATAAATATATAATTAAAAATTTAAAGACACATTTTAAAATTTGAAAGGAACAAACTTATAATTTATCCAATTTAATATCAAAACATATAAACTAGTATATATAGACGCGTTCCAAAATTATCTCTACACAAATTTAAGTCGTCCTAACATAAAGTTATGGGTCTATCACTCAACTATAATAAACTTTTTACAAAATATATCTTCTTTTATTTGTTATTATTTTTACTTTTAAGAATTTGCAATAAATAAGGATTTGATAAATGTTTGAGTCACACTTAGTATATTAAATGTTAAGTATCCAAATTTGTATTATCGTTAAATGATTAATCTAAATAACGACAAAATCAAAGTAAATAATTCAAATACAACTTAGGAGTAAAATATAATATATGAAAGTTGAAAGACCAAAATATTTTATTTTAAAGTTTAGGATAAAAAAATTTGTACTAAAAAAAGATTTAACCTTTATTTTTATTTTTTAATGTTTTTAAAAGAATCGATATAAATTAACATCCAGCACATTACTGTGCAACGCGATACAGATTATCATAACCGTACCATATATTTACGACTGCTACCTAACCTTCGATTTCTAAACCCTAACTCCTTTCGCCTCTGCGTTTCGTCCTTGCCAGATCGAATTCGAGGTAATCTTCCATCAAACGCCGAATTTGATTAATTCGTTAATTTCAATACAGAATGCTCTTCGAGTTTAATCTTAATCGAGGTTTAGATTTATGGTTCCTGATTTATCTCTCTTCGTTTCATGTTGGATGCAATCGATAATGTTTTTTGTTTCTACGTTTAATTCGTTTAGGGGAAAATGAGTAGCCGTGCCAGCAGAACGGTCTATGTGGGAAATCTCCCGGGTGATATTCGTGAAAAAGAAGTGGAGGATTTATTTTACAAGGTAATTCTTCGTAATTTTGCATGCGCGTGATGGGATTTTGGTGAGTGAAGTTGTTTAGAGTATTTTAGCCCTTTATTACGGGGAGCGCGTAAATAATGCAATAGTCTGTCTTTTTTCGTTGGATGGTTTGTTTGTTGGATTTTATTTCTTCAGTGGAATGGATATTGTGAAGTGATACTCATGTAAGAGGCAGTGCAAGCGTAGAATGATGAAAGTTTTGATTCTGAGAATGTGTGGAAGGGTGTGTGATGAGCTTACAAATACAGGAGTAACAATCACTTCTAAATTATTGACGCACATTTTGTGGTTTTTCTTTCTTTAGTTGTTCAAGGTGATCTGGGATAAGATTAAAATAATTTTGGACTTGGAGTTTTATTTGTTGAAACTACCTAATTTCAATATATTCTCATTCGGCAATTTTATTGCAGTATGGACGCATAGCTCACATTGATCTCAAGGTTCCACCAAGACCTCCTGGTTATGCATTTGTTGAGGTGAGCTTATTGCACATGAAATGCCATATTCTCTTCCTTTTTAATACTTGTTACTTATCTACTCAATATGGATTGCGTGAATGTAGTTCGAAGATGCAGAAGATGCTCAAGATGCTATTCGTGGTCGTGATGGCTATGATTTTGATGGGCACAGGTTACGTGTGAGTTACTAACCTAGTCTATTTATATTTTTTCATAACTTGGTTGTTTTTGTACTTCACTGCTTTACAGTTATAATTTATGCAGCATTTGTTTCTGTGTGTGTTTGTAGGTGGAACTTGCTCATGGTGGTCGTGGTCATTCTTCATCTAGTGATCGTTATAGTAGTCATGGAGGAAGCCGTGGTGGGCGTGGAGTATCTAGGCGCTCTGATTATCGTGGTATCTACCCATTTCTTGGACACACCATACAATGTTTTGACATTTTAAACATAGGTTGTGATAATATATATATTTTTTGTTCATGCAGTATTAGTCACAGGATTACCTTCTTCCGCCTCATGGCAAGATTTAAAGGTAAGTTTCATTCCATTTGACATGAAATGTATGTGCCCTAGTTTTTCTGATTAACATGTCCATCATGTTATTTAATATTGAAGGATCACATGCGGCGAGCTGGGGATGTTTGTTTCTCCCAAGTGTTTCGTGATGGTAGTGGTAAGATACATTCTGATGGTGCTGGCTTCAAATTCTTAATAATGTGGTGCTGATAACTAAATAGGAACTATTTATTTGTTTGTGTTGTAGGAACTACAGGGATCGTGGACTACACTAACTATGATGACATGAAATATGCAGTAAGTTGTTTTCATTTCTGATCTATGACGTTTGAAATGTTAACTTAATGAGTCTGGGAGCTTAAGTTTTGGTTTGCTGATTTGCTTTGCTATTTGTTTATTTGTCATTGCAGATTAAAAAACTTGATGATTCTGAGTTCCGAAATGCATTTTCTCGGTCATATGTTCGTGTATGAACTATAATACCTTCTTGTTCTGTAAACTATTTTTCTTTATGAATGTCTTGTTTCTCATCTATTTTAATTTTGCTTTTGATAGGTGAGAGAATATGATTCAAAGAGGGATCTCTCCAGGAGCCCTAGTCGTGGGCGGTCACACTCTAGAGGGAGGAGTTATAGTCGCAGTCGTAGTAGAGGCCGTAGTAGGAGCAAGAGCCGCAGTAGGAGGTTGGTTTATTTTTTAATATTAAATTAGTCTTCCATTTTTTTTAATTGTATTAAATCCTTTATTAACTTTTGAGCAGCAAGTCTCCAAAAGCCAAATCTTCCCAGCGGTCACCTGTTAAATCCCGATCGAGGTCTGCTTCCCCTGCTCGCTCCCGGTCAAAGTCATCATCTCTTTCAGGGTATGTGTTCTCATTTTGTAAATTATTGTCATTCATTCTCGTGATCCTTAGTTTATTTTATTTTTATCTAACTGCTGTCTGCTCATTGTTTATCTATATATTTATATGATTCGAGTTTGTTGTCACTCTAGCAGGGTCTGTTTGTTGCACCCGTCTTTCATTGGACAGAATGTTAGATTGGGTGAAATAAACAGCATAAAAGTACTGAAAGTGAACTAATTCTTTGTATTGCTCAAGCACGGGTCAGCAAGGGGTTTTAAATTTAGCAATGGATTTGAAATTACATTACCGGATGCAATGTGTTTGCATGTGGTATTGTGGCTTGTACAATTCTCTTGAATGTGAAACCCACCCTTTTCTTCCAAAGTCTTGGATGCATTCTGGGAATGGTGGACATGAATACTGGACAGGCTTCAAATTAGTTTGGGCAATGTGTGGGACCCTCTATTGGAATGTTGGGTAAACTTTATTCCATTTGACTCAATTCAGTTATTACTGTTTCACATCTGATTCTGCTTTCTTTTTTGTAACTTGTCTTGGCCTTCCCCTTTATCATTAATGAATGTTTTCGTTCAACAACTGGGATACCTACAAAATGAATCGATTTCTTTCATTCATTTTCCTTTTTGTGTGTGAAAATTACTTGTTTGTTTTTTAGATATGGAAATATGCGGCATACTGGGGATTGGATATTAGGATCTTGATGGGATATGATTCAATTGCCTTCAATGCTTTTGGTTGAGAAGGTATGCTGTTTTTTAGATGGGCAGCTTTGAAAACCTTCTGGTACCTCTGTTCTAATGCTTTTAGCAATGCAATGTCCATGGGTGCTAGATTGGGATCAAAGGAGATCATGGATTGCAAAAATAGAGCTGGATATCTTGAACTAAGTGCTATTTGGACTTGGAAGTCATCATCACTTTCATTTACATTTTCTGCTGCAAGATTTGCAAGCTAATAGGACGCACTATCTGGATCCGTTGTGGACTTTTTTGAGGCACAGTAGGGAAGAATGCTCCTATCCCGTCCACTGGTGTCTATAATATACAGTTTCCTGTAGATTAAAGTACTTCTGATTTTAGGTTCATCACTGTTGGAGTCTTAAATTTTAAATTTGCACAATAATCTTCACAGTTGAACTACTAAAATTACAATTTTTCTTATCTTACTTGTATGATGTTGATGAGGCGTCAGGCTCTTGGATCAAAATTGGTAAAAGAGATGTGGATTTTAAATTGAGTTGTTTCTGGACCTTTTGCAGATCTCGATCAAGATCAAGATCTCCACTGCCTAATGTAAGTAGTTCCTGTTTTAAACCAGTCATTGCTCGACACGTGGTATGAGATTGATCCAAATGCTACGTGGTTTTAGTGGAGTTGAGCTAATTTTGTAGTTTTATGGTATCCAAATGCTACATAGTTGATTATGTTTTGCATTGCAGCGTGGCAAACGTACTAGTAAAAGTCCCAAAAGACGCGATGCTAGCAAAAGCCCTAGCCGAAGCAAGAGCAGAAGTAGGAGCAGGAGCAAGAGCAAGAGCAAAAGTCCTTCCGGGTACAGCTTTTGTAACTTCGTTTCAATTTCTGGGGCTTTGTAAACGTTCTTCATTGCGCATACGTTTTGCAAACAACAATAATTTCCACGAAACATTTGTGATGCAATTTCTTGTGCTGATGCTGATTCTGCTTGAACAGATGAAGATGGAGGCAGTTGGCAGATCTGTTGATTTCTGGAGCCATGGAGTGGGGCTTGAATCAGAGTATTAATCAACGAACCTATTCGTAACAGACTTGAATTAGACCATATATATATTAGCTATGTTTTGTTTGGATTCTTCATGTGTGTTCTATTCTCTTGTAGGATGTTGAGGTGAGATTGCTTAAAATGTTCCCTAATTTGAAATTCTTAGTTTCAGGATGATGCTGCTTAAAAATTTGTGACACATTTTTGAACATAATAGTTCATTCCATAGTTTAAAAAGTAAAACACTAAAATTGCTTTTAATGTTTGGTTTTTGATATTTATTTTTCTAATTCTCTATTGACAATTTTTTTCAATTGCGCTGGAAATAACTTTTCGTTTTCTTTCCCCCCATTTTGTACAAATTTTAAAGTGTTACATTTTAGTGTGATTTGCAATTTATGTGCATTCAATAGTAAAAATGATATATTAGTGTTGAAATTCTGTCTGAGGAAGTATGAATTTTCCTATTACAATCTTCGGCCCTGGTTAATTTTGCATTTGGTCTGTTCTCGAGTTTTGGAATTTCATTTGGGTTATTTTAGAAACTACATGCTGTATTGAATTTCAAAGTTAACTTAATACTCATCCTCTTGTTGCCGGCCTTGAGGTACTGTCTCCCTCAAGGTCTTGAGTTCGAGCCCTACGTTGGTCGCGTGTAAAAAGGAAAAAGATTTACGTTATGTTATTTAATTGAGAATTATGTTTTATGGCAAGATTATTTCGTATGAATGAGAAATCAAATGATCTTTATCATTCATGGAATCTCTATTATGCTCCTTAGATTCTCCATCCTTCTATACTTGCTAACAGTCCTCATAAAAAATAATAATAATAATTCATAAACTGTTGAACCATCTTTGACCATCTACTTTGAACATGGGGAATTACAACTTTTTTCATAGAAATTTTCCATTGTTTACTTTCAATTATCTGCTCATTGGATTCTCTCAACTTCTGCTCCTTCTCACGCTTCTAATACCCTCCTGCACCGATACTGCCATTTGCATGGTTCCGATCCACCCTGCTTTTGCAACGATCGAACCATTCTTTAAACAAATTGTAAGCTTCTCTATTGCTGCTACCAATTTCGAGTCTATTTCTTCCATCTATCCATCATTTCCCCTCACATATCGAAGAGCACTGCTTTGATACAGCAAGGATAGCCCCTCTATATCTGTGATCACACACCACGGAAAACGATCAGTTGATCACACCTCGAGATTTGCAATTAAACAACCAACTTCATTTCATCTAATCTGGGTACTACAACGTCTTCCTTCATCGAACTGGTATATCTTGCAGCAACGTTAGCTCCAGCTCGAGAAAACAGCTCCACCACCGCAGGCAAGATGCCATAGTACCTCTTCAGATTATCCAGTAGAGGCTGAGTAGTATGCACATCTTGAACATGCCAAACATACACCGGGGGAATCAAATCATCAACTGTTGCTTCTTGCCACGCATGTTGCCCATCTCTCATCTGGTGCTTGTAAGCTTGGCAATTCCTAACCCTATGACCCTTGGGCCCAACTTGAACCTCAGAGCAATACCCACACGTTTGCACACCATAAGTTTCCATCAGTTTCTCTGTTCCCTTAATCATTTTATCCCATAACTCCATGCCTCTGGCGGCAGTCACTGAAATGCCAAGAATAGAGAGATGAAATCCAGGCTACACCCCTGAACAATTCTTCAAAATATTTGTTCAATGATAATTGGATGAAAATAATACGGTTAAATTACCAACATGGTCCATAAACTTTCGGGTTGTGTCTAACAGGACCTAGACTCCAAAAATTATCAAGTGGGTGCTTGAACTTTCAATTTTGTGTTGAATAGAACCCTAACCAATCGGACATTTTTTAAAATTCAGGAAATATTAGACAAAAATTGACTTTTGAGTCTCATATGTCACCTATCAATTTTGTGTCTAATAAGTTCCTAAATTAGAAAAAAGAAAATGTCAACCGGGTAAGATACCTATTATAAACATAACTGAAAGTAAAATTCAAGGACCTGTTTAAAGTTCAAGAGCCTAACTTGTAATTTAACGATAAAATAAACAGACCTAAGCTGTGTTGTCATAGAACATGCCAATGTCCAAAATGAAAAGAAGAAGAATTTACTAGAAGCACAAACAATACTGACCTTTGAAATCATCAGAATTTAACGATATAGCGTTCACAGACAACCTTTTTCTATCATTCCAGAACCCATATGTATTAATGTCTTGTCCCAGTGATAAATTCCTGGGGAACCTCCTCTCAAAGTCGACAGTCCTTCCAGCAACCTTGTAAATGGGAAAAGACCTACGCCTTGTAGGGTACTCAGTGATGTCAACACCAGCTTGGATACACAATTCAACTACTGCTGGAATTCGATCCACCTGAAGCTGCTCGTTATGTGAAACCGCTCTGCCAAGACGGTCGTATAAATGAAAAGATTCAACAGTAGGGAAGACATGTTGCAAGCCCCCAATTTCCCAACCGTGCTCTTTGTTTGGTGCACTTTCTGCAACATTGCAAGTTCTAATCTTATGTGGTGGATGACCAATATGAACCTCTCCACAGACTCTATACAAGGGAGTGAACAAGATTAGAGAAACTAAGGTACTTATGAGAAACTGTACTTATATAGGCTTTAGAGGTCAAAATATAACATGAAATCCTGAAATAACAATCAATTTACGACTAGATATGTGAACTTTTGTATCTTACCTACAATAATATACAATGCTCCTCTTAATCACTGTTGAAACACAAGATAATAGTTCAGATCTGGCAGCATAAACTTCATGAGCAATTGGAACCAAGCCCTTGACCAGCAAACCATTTGCAGGGGGTTGTAAAGAGATCTCCTGTACACTCTGCCTCTCTTTCCTTCTCAATCTCGCTTCACGCTTGAGTTCGTTTATACTCGTTACCAGCGGCTTCCTCTCGGACTTCTTTAGCTTCTGCAGTAAAACTTCAGAATTAGACCTTGTTGAGTACCATAGAGAGGGATGTTTGCTTGAACTGGTCAAGGTTGCAGCTACACTTTGTAAAAACAACTCTTGATCATTTACAAAGTTCTGTAGTCTCTTAAGAAACATTGGAAATGTGTGTATTGGCCTACAAAAACCAATACTGATCAATTAAAAACATTTGAAATAGAGAGCTTTTGATACTCGTCATTCTAGCAGGATAGTAAAATTAAGCCAAATACTAATTTCATAAGTTAACTAAGACATGGGTTAAGCAATACAATTTAATCTCAGAAGAACAAGTAATTTAAGTCATGAAATGAATAATCATTAAACAGTCCACATTCCACCTCCTTAAGGGTAATTATGCAGGAACAAAATAACATATATCAGCAAACAACGATGATTAACATCAACCAAGAGGTCAAAGAAAATTGAACAATGTAGAAACAAAATATTTTTTTTGGTTTTGAATTTATTGACTCATCATTGTCTTTGTTTATTATTAATTCCATCAAACCTTTCTCGTCTAGAAATATGTACAATTTCGATGGGACCATCAACAAAAACCAAAAGCAAAGCATTGTGCCCATCTTCGAATAGACGACTTGAACAGACAAGCTAGAAGCTAAAAATCAAACAAAAACAGAGGAAAGAAAAGGAAAAAAGGCATCAATCCAGCAGGGCATTCAAACCCTTCTCCAAAATTCAGATGTCTTTTAAGTTCTCCAAACACAAAACCATATTTAAGTTCTTCGAATTTAGTTTTACTTGATAGAAAGTTAAGGGGAAAAAAAAGAAAGAACAAAATACTAACAAAAAAATCGCCGGCGGCGAAGGCGACCAGTGCCCGGCGGCAAGGCGTCAGCGGCGAAAACGGCGGCAAGGCGGTGGCGAAGAAAGAGGCAGCATGGGTTTCTTTTTCCTGGTGGGAGGGTAGAACAGAAGTCATGCGTGGCCCGTGGGTTTTTTTTAAATTTTTTTTTTATGTTTCTTTCTTTTTTATTTATGGGCTTTGAAAATTGGGCTGGGCTGGTCTGGTCCTTTTATTTACAAAGGTGGGCTGGACACTTACTTACATGTAAAAGAGGCAGCCGTGTCCCTTCTCCCCGTATCTGAATTTTGAATACTTTAGAAATACTTTAGAGATGGCAAGTTCGAGAATATTATGAGAAGGGGGAAGGGCGGTTATCCATTTACTTTCCGAAAATGGTCGAAATCGATTCCAGTATCGCAGAGAACATTATATCTCGTAATCTGGAAATATATGCGGAGATGAATACTGAACCCATCCGTGGAGAAGAGAAAGGAGAACCCTAATCTCCGTAAATCCGTCATTATGAAGTATGTCGTTTTCTTTTATAACACAACCGAGAATAATGACATGCATAGTTGTCTCTCGCATGCAAGGAGATGCTGCTGCTGGATGTCACGGTTCTGGGGCGCCATGATCCTTTTCTCTGGAACAATCGAGGGCACAGCCTTCCTTTTGATTTCAGAAGTACTGAATAAATCATTGCTCAGTAAACTATTTATTGTCGTCAATAGTGCTTTGCTTGCACACCCGCACCACACCTGGTAGAGCTATCGCACACGGACGAAGGAGATGCATTTTTTTTATCTATTTACCTAGCTAACTTTTTCTATGAGTCTATCACTAATTGATGTTTCAAAATCCTTTCGAGAGAAAAAAAGTTTCAAACTATTTTAGTCAACTGGTTTAAATTGATTTTTATTTTTATTGCTATATTTGCTAATTCAAAATTTTGTTTCGCCAAAGCCAGCATAGCTTAATTGACATATATATAAATGGTGAGGGTAAGGCGTTATTTATTTGTTTTTTTTACAAGTAATTTCCTTGCTTTGCCATATATATAAATGTCCAATGTGATATAATACTTAGTCAATTGTAGTAAAATTGTAAATATGGTGAGGGTAAGGCGTTATTTATTTGTTTTTTTTTTTTGAGAGATGTAAGAAGTTATTTATTGAGGTTAAATGTGATTTAAAATTAATTACAAAATCGAACCCATTAAATTTTATCATTTAATTTTAAAAAGCTTAAATTTTAATGCTGAATTCACTTGACCTCTAACTTTTAAATTTTAAAAGGTGAAATACATCTCTCAAACTTTTAATACGTGTTATCTAAACTTTAGATTTTAGGACGCAAAATTTAAGTTCAAATATTTAATAAACCCACATTGAATTAAACTTATTTAAGTCTTTGCAAAAGATTATGGTTTATATACAGATGTTTCTTGGATTCCTTTTAAATATGTATTTTTCTAATTTTTTTTTTTGCGGAAATAAGATAGTTCTTTATGTATTATTAACGGAATTAATTTTTCATTCTCTTATTAAATTGTAGGAATGAGAATCAAATGGTGAACCACACAATTTTTTCATTATCATTCTTTAAAAATACGTAATCTCAAGCTTCTTTTGTGCTCCATCAATCTCATTATCATTCCTTACTTCATAGCACACACATTTATTGTAATTATTTTTCTACTCTTTATTTCATAGATTACTGAGATCCTTAATTTTTTTATTTAATTGTTTTATATTATTAATTTTTTTTCATATATAGTCTAATCATTTTTCTTATAATAAAAAATCATACCACATTTATTAATTAATATGATTTTTATTATAAATTTATATTTAACATTTAATATTTTAATTTATTATTATTAATTAATATCAATAGATTTTTTAAAATATAATTTATAATTATTAAATATTATAAGAATAAAATTTAATAAAATTTATATATTAAATCATGATGATTCTAGTGAAAAATATTATATTGGATGTAATTTTATTTTAATTGTTCATTATTTATTAATATTAAATACATTGTTATAATTAAAAATATTTATTATAGTAATAAAATAAATTAAAATTTATCATTATTGTAATTAAAAAATTAACAATGTATTTTTAATTAACTAGAAATAAATATCTTAGTAATTGTTAAGAAATAAATATCTTAGTTATATATTTTATTTCGATTTCGATTATAGATAGTTTTAGTAAACAACATCAAATGAATTCTAATTCTGATTCTATAGAATTTTTAGTAAACAACATCAAAATAATAACACTCTCATTCCGATTCATTCCCATTACAATTTCATTCTTAGTAAACAACATCAAAAGAATAACATTTTCCTTCCGATTAATTCTCGTTACAATTCCATGTCAATAGGATCTTAAAGAAATTCCAAATGAAAAAAATTTCAAATGAATCATATATATACATTAAATTGCATATATATATATATTCAACTCGATGACTTAGACGCGCGATGTAAGTGTTATATGTGAAGTGAATGTCCATGTATAAGTTGATTATTTTTTACTCTTGCAAACGAAAAGAATTAATGAAATCGTTTATGTTAGCAATTAGGAGAGGAGTACCTCATTCAATAAGATCCTGAACACCAAACTTCGCCATAGCCTATATTGTTTATGGATTAAGAATTATAATTGTAGGGTTTTATTTTAAACACAATTGGCAAGATGACTATATTATATATTCATGGATTAATTAGTGAGTGGTTGGTTAATAACAAAGACGTATACCAAATACAAAATAAAAATAAAAAATGGAAAGTTAAAAAAACTTATTATAAATATAAAAACTAAGCAAGCGATCCTAATGGAAAACTCATGCGCTGGTTTTTGGATTCTTGACAATAGCGACGGTGCATGGAGCATGACGAGCGCAATAATCACTCACACTGCCTAACAATGCCCTGCATAACCATAATCCATAAATTCCATTTCATTTCCTATAAAAATTATTAAATAAAAGTCCCATAATTTTGAAACACTGAATATTAAAAAATTTAAAACAAAAAACATACTTCTACTTCGTGGACTAAATAAGCAATACGACTGAGTAATATATTTAACCTTACTATTATTAAAAAAAAATGTAGCAAAAAGATTTTCGTTATAAAGGAATTTTTTTGGTATATAATTTATCAATCTGATCATAGGTTAATAAAATATATATTTATTTTACCTACCGTAAGGATGGTTTCGTAATGTTCTTATTTCTTGTTTCTCGTTTTTCGTTTCCAATTTTTTTTATTAAGAAATTTTAGGATCTTGTAGTGGCGGTTTTATAGGGCTCGTTTGGTAACGTTCTTTTTTCTGGTTATTTCTTTATTTTTAATAAAGAAAAATGTGTAGTATTATAAAACTTTTTTTTTAATGTTTTGGAACAAATTAAAAATGACAATAAAAAAAGAAAAACTTGTTTTGTTTTGATTGTTTACAATTGTGAGAATTTTCCAAAAAAGAAAAACAAAAGCAAAGTTAGTTGTAATATGCTTAAATGAAACATTACCAAACGGACCCATAATATTCTTATTTCTTGTTTCTCGTTAATTTTAATTTTTCTCCCTTTTTCACAACATTCCTACCATTGTATAAAATTTTTGAAAACAAAAAAACAAATTTCTCCTCTATGGTTCTCTTTTCTGATTTGTTATAAAATATAAAATATAAAAAATAAAGGAACAGGAACGTAACCGATCATAAATTATACACTAGAAATTTAAACGTTCAATCTTCCATTTCCTCGTATATTTTACCTAAAAAAAAATATTTCTTCTAGTTTTAAAATTTTGTCTTAACAGTATAATGATTAATATAATATTTTAAAAGAACTTTAAAAAATTTGGGCTAAATGTACCCCATCCTTTTTGAAATTCTCAATTTTAGAAATTCTTGTAATAAAAACTCTAAATTCTAAAACTTATTAGTGATATTTTGAAGCTGTATGTTTGATTAAGTACCTCTTGATAGCTCCATATCCATGGCTTCCCACCACCAGCATCGAAGCTCCGTGCCTCTCCACCGCCTTACACAGTACATTCCTTGCATCTCCTTCTTCCACCTCGAACATAACGCCACTCACCTGCGAAAATTAATTTTCATTTTAACATTCAATCGATCGATCGAGCGATCTACATCGAACAAATCGAGGACAAGAACAGAAATCGAACTCTCTCTCTCTCTCTCTCTGTTTCTACCAGATTTCGTCTCAATTAAACTCGATTTTTACCGATTTAGCGGCGCAGATTCCTCCCGCGGCTTCGATAATTCCTGCTGCTTTCTTCTTCAGATTCTCGTCCAATAATTGGTACATTCCAGGCGCAGATCCTATCACCACTGATCACAGTATTTTCTTCAAACACGATAGATTGTTTGTGGAATATTGCTGCAAAAATAGTGATCGGAGAATTCGAGATCTTACTTCCCGGTCCGGCGACTCCGACGAAGACTTCAGGAATTGGTTTGGCGTGGACGACGACGAGTTTGAATAACGGCGGATGTAAAGTTTGAGAGAAAAAGTGGTCCAATGTCCACTGCAGAGCGGCGAATGCGCATTCGCTGTCGTCGACGCCGATCACGATCACTGGCTTCTCCGCCGCCGCCGTCGCCATCGGAGCGATTCCACGGCCGCCGATCGTTTCTTTTTTCACTTTTTCTTTTTCGGATTAGTGAAATGAAGCGGTTTAAATTGGGGAAGAAGAAGAACTTGACGTTCTGTTTTTGGAGGTGAGTTTGTCTACGTGGCGGATCTTGTCAGCAATTGGCAGTGAGTAAACGAAAGAATCTCTTACATGTCACCTAAATACTGTGACACCTCCGTACACGTGGCTCCCTCCGGATTTCTCAAGTTACATTTGTTTTGGGGGAAATATTTATGTCTTTATTCGGAATATCTGTTAATTGTGACCAGCATAAAGATAAATCTTCCTCAGTTATGACTTATTAAAAATTACTTTGAATTATAGATTTTTTAAAATCTATAAAATCATATTTGTAATCTTTTGAGTTATAGAAAATATTACATTTATTATTTATTAAACCTTTAAATTTTCAATTAAATTAATTACTCCTAAATTTATAATATTACAGTTACACCTTTGTTTCCCCAGTTATGATAAAAGTTAAAACTAGGGAAAAAAATAGTTTAAAGTAGGAAAGAGAAATGTTTTTGGTACTAGGAAATTAGATAAATGATTTTAGTACATGTTGAATCCAACCCAAATTAAAACTAGGAAAGAGACGCAGCATTCTGGAGTGGAAAAACCAGTAGCTGTGGTTGCATTATTGTTATTTATTAAACTTTTAAATTGTCTATTCAAGACTCGTTTGATACCATGAAGAAAAATGTATCACGTGGTTCTAACCTTACAAAATTCAAGTATGATAAAACAATCTTTTTATTTATATTTTAGAATAAATTGGGAATGAGAACAAAAAAGAAAAACTTGTTCCTAATAGAACAGAAACGAGAAACAAAAATTAGTCTTAAATTTCTTTAAAAAACTTAGAAATGAGAAACAACAAAACAAAACTTTTTAAAACGAGAAATAAAAAACAAAAAACAGAAACGTTACCAAATGAGTCATTAATTAATTACTCTTAACTATTATAAAAACTATTGAATTAATGAGGGCAACTTTGATACCACTTGTTGAATAAATTAGCATAAAAGGAAAGAGACGATCACCTGAAGAAAGATACTTTTATTAGAAAAGTAGAGATATGRACATTCTTGATGGAAGACTTTCTCACACTCTAACTTTCCTCTCTTTTTTCGGAAAGTAGAAATACGGAAAGTAGAAATATGGATACTCTTGATGGAAGATTCTCTCACTCTCTAACTTTCCTCTCTTTCTTCGCTAACTTCACTTAATTCACTCTCTTCATTTGATTCACATAGACATCTCTCCATGATTCTCCATGATTCACATAGACATCTCTCCTATTTATACGAGAAAGATCTTTGGAGCCCAAGGAAAAAGAACTTTTTAGACTCCTCTCAAATTAGCTAGCTCGAAATAGATCATTTTAACTTAATTAGCTCGAATTGACTTAAAATTTGGTTCGAACTAATTAAGTCAGAGTTCTAATGAACTTGTTGATGACAAGGGAACCAAATATTTTTCCTCATCGTAATTAAACAATTTATTACTGGATACAGAAACTAAAGTATTGTTAGGATTTACACAAACTTCTCCTAAGCAAGTATTGGATCAGATTTTTGTTACAAACAAACTCAAATGTTTTAAATATTATTATTTGATTTAAGAGTACATATGTACAATGCTTTTAAGACCAATAAATTTATAATGGTAGAAATGTCCACAAGTGGGGAGATGGGACTGAATCAGGTGGTGGTGGTGGTGGTTTTGGGTTTCTTGACAATCAAGACAGTACATGAAGCCTGATGAGCGCAATAGTCACTCACGCTCCCCAAGAACGCCCTGCATTATATATCATAATCATATGCATTCTTTCCTTAACCAAAATAATCTTCAATCATCCCCAACAAACAATAGGAAACAAATAACACTAATTCTGATACTAAAATGTATAAATTGCTTCTTAAAAACTTCATGCTTAATCTATATGTTCAACTCTCAATTTTTTTTTCACTATTATTTTTAACCCATATCCAGATGAAATCAATCAAAATTTCAAAATAACAATGCAATATAGAAAAATACATATTTACGGTATTTACTAGAAATAGGAATCGAAATAGAAATAAGATATACATGAATACCCCTTACTCTTATTTATAAAAGAAATTAGAAATAGCTTAATTAAATAGCTTCCATATCAAAATAACAATGCAATATAAACAATTTAATAGCTTCCATAAATGGAAAAATTAAACCCGGTCTCCAAAAATTGGGTCTATTTACTCTATTTCGCTTGAGTTTGGCGTGCAATTTTCTCACTTATTAAGGGTTTGAATTTTACTATTTGAAAGTTTAGAGGTTTTATCCCAAAAAAACAAAAAACAAAAAACAAATATATATTCAGCTTTTAACAAAATTCCAAATATTCGTTCCCCCCCTCTGTGAAATGTTACTTGAACAACGTACCTCTTGACAGCTCCATAGCCATGGCTTCCCACCACCAGCATTGAAGCCCGGTGCCTACCCACCGCCTCACACAGCACATACCTAGCATCTCCTTCATCCACCTCGAATTTAACATCATCCACCTGCAATTTTTGTTCAACAAAAGTTCAATCGATCGAGCAAAGAGAAGATCCAGAGATCTACGAATCCTTCTTCCCGCTCTCTGTACAAATTCCCAAACTCTATTCCATTTAATTTGATTCCTCTGGATGAATGCTAAATTAATTATAATCTAATCAGAGTTAAATATCATCGCAACGATTCAATTTGAAACTCTCACACGATTGATTGAGATAATCAAGCAATTAATTAGACCCTACCGTTACCGATTTAGAGGCGCAAATCTGTTTCGCAGTTTCGATGATTATCGCAGCTTTCTTCTTCAAATCCTCGTCCAAATATTGGAAAGTTCCAGCAGATCCTACCATCACTGATTATAATTCCTGGCTTTACTTTGATTATTGCTTGAAATTGAATAGAAGAGACTGAGAGGAGCATGGATCTTACTTCCTGGTCCGCCGACGCCGATGAAGAGGTCGGGCATTGGCTTGGCGTAGACGACGACGATCTTGAACGGATGTATGGATGAAGAGAAGAAGTGGTCCAATGTCCACTCCAGAGCGCCGGTAGAGTATTCACTGTCGTCGAATCCGATCACGATCACTGGCTTCTCCGTCGTCGCCATCGGAGCGGAACGATTCCACCGCCGCGGCTTGTTTTCTTCGATGAGTGAAGCGGTTTAAATCGGGGAAGAAGACGGCCGGCGTCCTCTTTTATAGGTTTTTTATTATACACGTGGCGGATCAAGCGGTCACAAAAGGACGAAAGAGTATTTTTACATGTCGCGGAGATACTGTGACACCTTTGTACACGTGGCTTCCAGCAGATTCTGAATTTCCTTCCGACCGCGAGTAAATTTTATTGAACGAACCTGCTACGAAATAATTCTCCGATGGATATTCGATTTTTTTTTTCTTAATAATTATCCGATACAAATACTCTTAATAATTCTTAGGTGCAAATTCGAAAATTATGCACGTTTTTATTCTTAATAATTACTCGACACAAATTTGAAACATTTTTGTGATTTCTTTATCAGTCATATTATGAGGGAAAAAAAACTATACAAATTCGAAATACTTTTGTAATTTTTTTATCAATAATATTATGATTGTTTATCGCTAACCATGGATCTCTATCTTTGATAAATTGATAAATTTTATAATTTCTTTATCGATCGTATTACGATTATTTGTCGTTAACTATAGATCTCTACTAGTCATATTATGATTATTTATCACTAATTATAGATCTCTACCTGTGATAAATGGATCAATGATATGTACTATTTACATCAAAATTCTCCGAGAATTTTTTTTTGGTAAAATTGAGTAAAAGATATTTCTATAAAATGGTAATGGACGAAATCCACAATTTATTTTTTCTTTTCATTCGAAATGTAGAATTCACAATTGAATCTTTGACCCTTCTTATTCTATCATCAATCAATTGTTTAATAAGTAAATAATGTGATATAAATGTTGGGAAAAATAATATAGAGATCAATCGATCCTCTTGTAAATTCTTCAAACATGAACTATTTGATTTTCTCCTTCCACAGGCTAACAACAGCAGATAAGTAACAATAACAAAGGAATAAGAGATAGGGATAGAAAAGCTTAATACCACACCGATTATACTGGTTCGCCCCTATCTTGGAACTACGTCCAGTCTTCTGCGAAAAAGAGGTTCAACTATAGTTGAGAATATTACAATGGAGATCTCACCCAAGATATTACTATCTTGCTTCTAAGTACCCTAACAATGGCTACCTAGGATTA